CGTGTTACCACAACTTAGGGTTGAGCAATATTATTCCCCAGGGATATCTGCTGAGGGATTGGGGCAAGAAAAGGTGTTAAAATCTACCTGATGTGGATGCAGCATAACAATTATGGCCTTGGGCAGGACCTTGATGCAATGCCACACCCATCATCTTGCAGATAGTTAACTCTCTGCTAATGCTTCTGTTAACCCGTCCCTCCGTTGAAAACAAGAATGGTGGAGAAAAAATACCTACCTGCAAACCAGCTTCACAATCATTTTTATTTTTGAAAGTTGGGTTGGGCTAGTGAAGACTTTGCCACTACTCAGTTTATAGTCCTCTCATGTTCCTAACTTGTTAGTTTCATAACACAGCCCTTAAGTATAACAGTCTATCCTTGATTTCATTAGGTAAGAAGGACAGAAAATAGCTGTGAGCAATAAATCAGCTGCATTCCCTGATTTTTCTTTCTTTATATCCCAGGTGCTTAAAACTGTTCTGCCAGTCTTTGTTCTTAGGATCTTCCGAGTCTTCTGGATAGAAATTCAGGAAGTTTCTACCCCAATACATCTGAAAAATGGCAGGCTGGTATAGGCAGCTTCGATACACTCTATTATTCTTCCTGTTATTCTGGAAGCATAAAGACAGGTTTTCACAAACAGGACACCCTCCGGGTATGTTAGGACTGCCAAGTTCCTATATTCCTAGCCAGCCTGGCCTCTAGTAACCCCAATTTCTGGAGCACTGGGTTGGGACAATCTAATTTAAAGCGAAATCTGTATAGCAGAGTTGAGATTTGGTTGATGGTCTTTCTCTTTCATGGTCTGCATTTTTCTGGAAGCATGAATGTTACTATCATTTGTGCTAAATTATACTCTAAACATGGTTTATGAGTTACAATGATTTTACAGGACAGGATAAGTCCTATCCAAAACTGTCTATTCCCGTGATGGCGAACCTATGGCACGCGTGCCAGAGGTGGCACCCAGAGCCCTCTCTGCTGGCATGTGTGCCATCCCCCTAGGTCAGATCTCTGTGGCATTTCTTTCGTGAGCTTCTGTATCCCTGAAAACGACGAAACAGAAACTCACAAAAGAAAAAGATCTTACCTCTTGCCGCACTGCGGGTGTTGGGATGCCCTGCCTCCCGCCAGCCAGCTGATCTTCAGGTTTCTGCTACGCATGCACGAATGTCAGCTCAGGTTCGTGTTCATGTTGGCGCATGCACGAGCATGTCGGTGCATGCATGCATTCGCACACACGTGCATACATCTTTGGGCATGCAGGTATGCGCAATTTGGGCACTTGGTGTCTAAACAGTTCGCCATCACTGGTCTATTCCATCAATGACAAAGTATACAGAACTTCCAAAGGAAATCCAAAGGATATTTTGGATGCCCTCTTTCTGTGTTCATTAGTACCTCAAACAACCCTAATTCTGAAACCATCAAACTAGGAAGTGCTTCATGACTATTTTGTTTGGAAAGCACCTCCTGTTGGCAAAAATCATATTTTAGCCTAAATAGCCTAAATAAGAAATAATAATTCATGCCTAAGTAAGCATGAATTATTAATTCATTATTATTAATAAAGAATGGACAGTTTTGCCCAATATTCACAGTCATTTATTCATTTCGATTATTTTATACTGTTTGGTCCAGAGATTTCAGTGCAAAATATCTTTTGCTGACATATTTCAACTTTTAGAAAAAGAAAAGTTACCATCATCCAGTAAGGTTATATGTGACATGAGACAGTATCCTTCCTCGCCATAGCAGATCATCATAGCATTTGCTTTGCAAGGTATTTATTAAAGTGCAAAATCGTTTGTTAAATTGTTTCTACTAATAGCTTGCCTGCAATTACTAGTGAGCCTGAAAGGCATGGGGTAAAAACTGATGGAGAAATCATCAGCAGTTAGAACCAAAGCACAGCAGTCAGCTCATAGTAATTCACCCCTCATGTTTTGCAAAATGAGATGCTAGAAAAAAGGCTTCTGTCTGTCTTAATTTAGATTAGGAATAGGCAACTAGTTCTCGCCAGATGATTTTCATTGGCCCCAATTACCATGGTTGGGCTGTTTTGTGTGTGCATGTGTGTACGTGTGCATGCACTCCCCCCCTTCAAGTCAGTTTTTGACTTTTTTGGACAAGTTCTTGCAGTTTTCTTGGCAAGGTTTTTCAGAAGTGGCCTGCCATTTCCTTCTTCGTAGGACAGAGAAAGAACGACGGACACAGTGTTGCCTAGCAACAACATCTAGCCTGATGTCTTAACTTTTACACTAAACTGAACTCTCATACATTCATACATAAAAAACCCCTCCCTTTTTACGACCCTGTAATCCCTTAATTTGGGGTAAAGTCAGGGCAAATGGATGGAGCTAGCATTTACTGGCCAGATGCCCTTCCTGACTCCATGTGCAGTTCACAGCAGGTACTTTTTCTTTGTGCCCTAGGAGAGAGAAACCTCTGCTGCAACTGGGTTGAATTCTCAACCTTCCGAGTGGGAGGCGACATTTTATAGGCCACTATGCCACTCTTTGCATGCATGCATTCATGCATGCATACATACATACATACATACATACATACATACATACATAGAAGGGAAGATAAAATTGCAAGATAAAAATAAAGAGATGAAGGATATTACAGTGACTTGTAATGATAAGTGTAAAACACTTCACTAAAAAGAGTTTCACAAAGAAGTAATTAACTTTTCTATATAATTTTCACATTTTCTATAATCGAAAGAGACTCACACTTGAAAACTTAATATACATCACTTTTATATGTGAAAAAAATTAAAAATGGGCAAAGCTATTGGGCTACTTAAAAATGCAAATGTAGTCTAAAGATCATATCAAGTTGTTTGAGAATGTTCAAAGATCTATCAGGGAATTAAAAAAAAAAAACTGGTCTCCAGGCACTTACTTTCTGACACATTTGGGCATCTACAATATCTGACAGAAATTCTTCATCCTTAACTCATAATTCAAAGCCTTGGATAGTTGTTCCTGCGTTTGTTTTGACCATCAGATACTAAGACTCTGAACAGATGACATTGCTCTGACAGGTCTCTGATGAGAAGCCAGGAACATTAAAGGAAGCAAAATGGGGCAAAGCCAACACATCTTGAATCATTCTCATAAAGATACGTTCCTTAGATGACTTCTCAGGGGAAAAGGAATTCAGACATTGCATGCCATTAGATTAAAATTAGACTTTATATGCTTTCAGCTATACATTTATATATTAAGTAACTTCTTGTGAGAGCTTTAACTTTCTAGTAAATCTGGGTGTACAAATAAGGAGCCATAAAAGCATTCAAAGTATTTTTGAAAAAATAACATCTCCATAGGTGGTTATCTCCATAAAGCAGAGTCAACTGACAACAGTAAAGAAAATCTGGTCACTCATCAAAAACCATTAACAGACCCAAAATTGCTTCTAAGTGAAAATGGGATTCAATCAAGTTATGATGGCACGAAGTGAGTTTACAGACAGACATTAAGTTTCAGTTCAGACAAGGCACAAAGAATCATTCAGCAATGCTTTTATTTGCTGGAATACAGCCAGGGAAACTGATCACAATATAGCAGTACTATTATGATGCAGATATAAAGTACAGAAGCAACATGATCAGCACCAGAGCCAAATACAAGCATAAACATCTTTTATCACTAAGATTCAATAAAGCAGAGTATGAAACAGTTTTGATGTAGTTGGCAAATATTAAATAAAGAAATAGACTATTTCTTTTATATGTGGAACAACCATTCATATTGCAGACAATAGGTCAGAGAAATATATATAACTGGTACCATAGGCAAATAATCCATAGTACCAAAGACTCTAAAGAAAAATCAGTTTTCTAATAAAGAATCCTTGTTAAAAATGTGCCAGCTGGATTAAGAAGTTGAAGAGGGGAAAATTGTTCATCGTATAGAGTGACTTCAGCAACAGCCTCTATATACGGTTAATTATCTGTTTTTTTTTTAACACTCTCATTCACAACAGCATGAGTGTCTTTCTCTAATGCTAATCAAATGCAACATTTACTTTTCACAAAAGATGTCACAAGGTAGGAAAGGACCTTAAGATCATTCAATCCTTCCCCACGTTGAAAGAGAGTCTTTGTGCAGAATCTCATTAACCCATCTCAACGACCGTTTTAAATATTTTATCAAGCTGCTACAAAACAGAGCATCAGGCCGAGAAGATATTCCTTTGTTTGTATAACTCCGATGAACTTATGAATATTGGCACTTACACAACCAAAAGGGTGTTGCCTGTCTCTGAGGAAGAGGTGGTGTGGGAGAATCTCAAGGTTTGAAGAGTTGTAGGGAAAAGGTCTGTGGGGGGAAATAACCTGCATGCATGGATAGAATAAAAATAACCCATCAGAGCTGAGCATGTTTCTGAAGGATGTAAACCCAGTAACAGGGATGAAATGGAGATTCTGGATATCTAAACAAGGACTGTTCCACATACATTATGTGGTAGATTTAACTTCCATTTGTTTGGTTTGTGCAGGGCAAAGTTCATACTTATCCCAGATATTCAGAATAGATTTAAAAAATCCAAGTCTATGGATTGGTTATTGCCATTTATTTCATAATACAGGTAATCCTCGACTTAAAACCGTTCATTTAGTGACCGTTCAAAGTTACAACAGTGCTGAAAAAAATGAGTTATGACCATTTTTCACACGACCTTTGCAACATCCCCATAGTCACGTGATCAAAATTCAGATGCTTGCAATAATATTGTAAGCAATATTGATGATTATTACTTACCTCCTGCATTAAAGAAATAATCTCAAGGTCAGCTAGGATTTCTATATAAAGTGATGGGAATTTCAAAACAGAGCAAAGTAACATAAGCATAGTAAACAAATTAAAATAAAAATACCACGAATGGTTCATATGTGGAGCCTGGCTTCAGAAGAATATGGGATGCACATGTGACATAGAGTAGTTACAAAAGATAAAAGTCCTAATCATAACTGGGACTTACCACCTCAGGTCTTTTAGGAAATATCCACAGCATTCAGATGCTTCTAAATCCAGCACTGCACACCTAAAACTTGGGCAGAAGGAACAATTGTTAAGAAACTTTTCTTACTATATGTTCAGGTCACTAACAAGCTAAAGCATAGAGATTAGTAAAACCCTAAACTAAAAAGCTACTCAGACATTATTTCTGAAATGCTGAAAAGGAGCTCTGGGAAGGATATGTGCGTTCATGCTTTCATCCTTCTGCTAATCTGTGAAGAAGGTTGGAGCATGGCAGAGTTCAGGTGCTGTATGAATCAGAGATGGGGATGTTGTGGTCCTACAGATGTTATTGGACCATCACTTTTTGTATGCCCATCTTTAGCCATGACAGTTGAGGCTGCTGTGCGCTGACCATCAGGAATACTCAGCCAACCACAAATTTCTTGATCCTGCTTTAAACCGGCGCATAACATCCACCCCGTGATGAACATCCCTATAAAGGGCTAAAGGTTCCCCTGTACAGTCATGACCAACTCAAGGGGAAAAGGTGCTCATCTCCAATTCTCAGCTGAATGAACCTATGTTGTCTGAGAGATGCAATCTATCATCATCCTGTCAAGAACAGAATACAGTAACCTTTCCTGCCTTAGTGGTACCTATATATCTAATCGCATTTTCATGCTTTCTGACTGCTAGGTTGGCAGGAATTACGGTAAGTAACAGGAACGCACCCTGTCGTGCAGCATTCGTGTCTCAAACCCGGGCTATCAGCTTTCCAGCTGACAAGCCCAGCATCTCAACTGCTGAGCCATCCATCCCTATGGAAGATACTAAATCAATCTAACGTGTTAGACCCTATCTTATATTTTTTGAACCCGGAAATAAGTGCTTGGCCTTATTTTCAGGCAGGTCTTATTATTTTGGGGCAGATAGCAAGATGTGAAGTAAGATAGGACTCCTCTTGCTGTCTTACCTGATTTCTAGCTCTGTATTTAAATATTTTCAGGAAGGGCTTATTTTTGGGGGGAGGCTTATTTTAGCGCATGCGCTCAAAAGCCCAATTGGGCTTATTATCAGGGGATGTCTTATTTTCGGGAAAACAGGGTACATGTATTTTGAGCTGCCAACCAAGGGTGAAATTCAGCAGGTTCTGACAGGTTCTGGAGAACCAGTAGTGGAGATTTTGAGTAGTTTGGAGAACTGGTAGCAGAAATTTTGAGTAGTTCAGAAAACCGGCAAATACCACCTCTGGATGGCCCCATAGTGGGGTGGGAATTGAGATTTTGGAATATCCTTCCCCCAGGAGTGGGGAAGGAATGGGGATTTTGCAGTATCCTTCCCTTGGAGTGGGGTGGGAATGGAGATTTTGCAGTATCTTTCCCCTGGAGTGGGGTGGGAATGGAGATTTTGCAGTATCCTTCCCCTGCCACGCCCACCAACCCATGCCCACCAAGCCCAAGCCATGCCCACAGAAGCCACGTCCACCAAGCCACACCCACAGAACCGGTAGTAAAAAAATTTGAATTTCACCACTAAAAGGTAAAGGTAAAGATTCCCCCTAGTTGTTCCCAACTCTAAGGGGTGGTGCTTATCTCTGTTTCAAAGCTGAGGAGCCAGTGCTGTCCAAAGACGTCTCCGTGGTCATATGGCCGGCATGACTCAACACCAAAGGCACATGGAACTCTGTTACCTTCCCCCCAAAGGTAGTCCCTATTTTTCTACTTGCACTTTTAATGTGCTTTCGAACTGCTAGGTTGGCAGAAGCTGGGACAAGTAACGGGAGCTCACCCCATTATGCAGCACTAGGGATTTGAACCGCTGAACTGCTGACTTTCAATCGACAAGCTCAGTGCCTTGTTCCTTCAAGGTACCACAACACCGATTGCTAACATTAAAATTCAGCACCCTATATGAATTATATTAATCAAAGAAGCACTTTATTTTTTGTTCAGACCATTCCTTTATCTTGCTTTTGTAAAATCTATTCCGGTTTTGCTACTTGAAGAAGCATGTGAATCACCAACACTAATGAATAATACAAAAATGTTAGTGCCAAAGATGTCTCTGTACTGTTATTCTTTTTTCTGACTTTCTTGTTTAATAAAAGGAAAGAGTAGTAGGAACTGGAAGCAGGGAAATAGAAATGAATGACCCTTTCTTTATCTCTGATTCTTCTGTTCAGATTTCTCTCAGAATTATTTGCCCATGGTGCATTCTAAATGTAAAAGTTTGGAATACTGCAGGTTGCTGCCTTGGTGTCTGTAGAGAGCGCACCGGCTATTGCTCAAGTGTCACCAGGTTCATGTCAGTTCTTAATGATTATATAGATCTGATTTTCTCCAGAAGTAGAGGGAATACAGGCAAAAAATTAGCAGCTGCCTTCCTCATTCTGCTCTCTAAGCATCTGACTCCCCAAACAGCTTCTTTCCGTTGCTGTTGCATTTAAAGGTCACCAAAGGTTGATGATGAATTTTGCATCTGTGGGTAAATGGGTTATTTGAGAGGAGTGGAACCTCTTCTAGCTTCCAAAGTTTTAGCAGGCAATTGTCTTTACATCACTGAGTACCTACCTATCTTTGTAACCATTAGAGTTGGAAATCGTTGCTTTAAAAAAAATAAAACCAGCAGTTTCCCAAGCAGCTAAATTCTTCACCAAAAAGCAGATAGGGGGATTATGAAGCTTTGTGTTTAAGTTCCAGCTAACATCTGAAAAGGCTTAAAATATATTTTCACAAAATGGTACATGTAGCCAAAGCCTATGTATATGTGCCAGAAGTTACATTACTTTCAGAGGGTAATGTAACTAAATTCATAAATTGACATACGTAGGATAATCTTTGGAAGTAAAATACTACAAACCTATAACATTTCCTTGAAAACAACACCATCAAATTCAGTTAGGACAGTTCCAGAGCAAATGTGGAAATGTATTTGTAGTTTCAGATTGGGTAAATGCATCATGTTAAGCTACTTTTCCTCAGCCTTCTATTCTCTTAATCAGTGTTTCTGACCAACTCCCAGAATTCCCAAGCCAGAAACTTATCTTAAAGCTGCCAAGTTTGAGAAACACTGCTCTAGATACATTGAATTGCAATTCTCAAAGTGTCAAGTCAGCTTCTAATTCTTGGAGTTGTAATTCCAATACATCTGGGGAGTACCAAATGGGGAAAGCTATAGTAAGCCATAAATTCAATTAATCAGAGTTTATTGAATAAGCTACAATTACTGGATACATACACCATACCAAGCCATAAACCATTCTCGACAGATATCAGTGGCTGGGTTTATGTAATTTACAAAATCATATTACGGTCCTGTGTATGAACTCAATTTGAATTTGAAATAGATTTCTAGTAAATATGGATGTGAAAAAGTGATTTAAGTCAAATCTATTCTAACAACAAGAACACACACACATACATTTTATTGATTTTATTATTGCCAATAAATTCAGTGGTGCTTATCAAAACAATATGAAGAGGCAAACATGGCTATAAACCTATATTGAACTGCATCATGTAAAAATATGAGATCACCATGTGTGGAATGTTCAGCTCTTTAAACTAATTCAGTTGGGATTTTCTTAAAAAAAGAATAATTTGCACAAAGCAAGCAGTACTGCTCCAAATAAGACACAGCCCACATCTCTGAAGTTCTGCACTTTTAATATGATTTCACTTTTGTATGCAACAATGAGCAGATGCAGATAAGTCTTAAACACCTGAAGCAACTGAGTATGCAAATATATTTTTCATTGGTTTGTTCTTGAAAAAATGTCATAGTTGCAGGCTGTTCGTTGCTCTTTCAAATGATATTTAGTTTTGGAAATGGTTTCATGAATGATAGTGCCTAGTTGCAGTTGAACCTGAGCTAAATAAATTCAAAATAAAATTGAAAGGCACAAAGCAGGAAGTCTAAGCTTTTGCTATGACTTTCTGATAATGGAAACTATGCAAAGCAATATAATACCAGAAATAGTTATGAAGAAAAGAAACTGCTCGCAGATACTAAATTAGTGCAACATAATTAACATATAGCTTTAACCTACTTGATATATAAGAACTGATCTAGATACAGTTGCAAAAAAACTCTTTGCGTTATTACCAAATTCTCTGCACATTACCCAGACAAAGTGAATGGAGTATTTTTGGTTGACCAAACCTAGAGTGACGACATGATAGTTTCACTAAATGCCTCTCACCTGCTCTAAATATGCAACTGACATTAAGGGAATTATTGCTGTGTAGAGAAAAATTTAAATCAATTTCATATTCAAAAGTGGAAGTTACGCTGAACATTATGAGATTAATCCAGATTATGAAGATTGAGATTCAAAAATATATTCTATCACGAGGCTCAGGGGCAGTACTTTTGCTCTTTGTACTGACCTTTAAAAATAGATGGCAATATAAAATTGGGAACAGGAGCAAACATATGTTCTATGCTTCTCAAGAGCCAATTGGAAATGAGTTTGTCTGAAATGGTAGAGGGTTTCCTGCTTGAGTAGGCAGTTGGATTAGAAGACCTCCAAGGTCCTTTCCAACTCTGTTATTCTGTTAATTGCATAGAAAAATTATAAATAAATAAGTAAAATTCAGTTTACAATAAGTATTATTGTCCCTCTCTGATAATTTCTCATATTGATCAATAATTGTTTTTTACCTTCTGGATTTTTCACTCACAAGTGTCTAATTCTGAAGGTAACAGAGATATTGAAGAGAGAAATTATTTCCAAACTTTTATTATTTTTACATAAAGGAACATATTTAACATGGTGAATGGAAAAGCTTATTTGGATTTGCATCATAATACTGTAACAAAATTAACCAAATGATCTAGGTTCACACAACATGGTAAATCAATAACCAAGACTGATACATCTGTAATCACCTTTAATGCATTGTATGAATGCATCCAGGGTTTACAATCACCAGTTAAGCCAGTGACGTGTTCACATATTACATCAAATTACGATTTTATTTAACATGATTTGCTAAATAAGCAACAACAACCTGGAACCATACAACTACAATCATTTGCTAAGTTCATTTCACATCATTCTAATTTTTTGCTTGGTTCACATATAATGTTAATCCATAATGAGTAAATTTACATATGTTAAACCAGAAAAAAATAAACTTAACTTGTAGATAATTATGCACAAAACAGTTCAGCTACTATAAGTCAGAATTTATCTTGACCATGCTTGCATTACACATTTACACTAACCACAATGCTGTTTCTAAAAGGACTTTTATTGGCCTAGATACAAACAGAACACTTGAATAATCAGCTACGATCATTCAATTTCCAATCTTATGTTACACTTTACTCTCCCTCAGTGGTGGGTTGCCCCCAGTTTGGACCAGTTCTATAGAACCTGTAGTAAAACCGGCAGGAGGCTCCACCCACCGACCTGATGTCATCAGGACGCTTCTGCGCATGTGCAGAAACGTCTGCGCATGCGCACGCGTGGCCCGTTGCGACCCGGTAGTAAAAGTACGTAGAACCCACCCCTGCTCTCCCTACTATCATTTTACACTTGGTGGAGAAAGTAATTTTTTCTCAGCAGTTACAAATAAATTGAACATGTTATCACAAAAGAACTTTACTTCTCATCTTATTTTAAAAGGCAGTAGCATTATATAAAGCCAGCAGGTCACCCCAAATTCTTAAATGTTATATTTTGAAAGAACCATTTGAAACAATATTCTGTACATTTAAAATTAAATGGGAGGGGGAATTACAAATATCAATTTACCTTCCTTTTCCATTTCTCCAGCCCACCATCTACTTCCCAGCCTATCCTTTACACCAGTATTTTTCAACCTCTGCAACTTTTAAGATGTATGTCCAGCATGGGGAATTCTGAGAGTTGAAATCCACATATCTGAAAGTTGATAAGGTTGAGAAACAGTTTTAAACAAATGGATACTAGTCCCTTTTGCTTGCTAAGGGGCCAGAAGGACAGGAAAACACCGTCAGCCTAACAAACTTCCACACTATCTGATTTCCATCCTGTCATGGTTAACAGGCAGTGGCTTTGTGGACCACACATAGCAGAAGAGCATCAGGAAATAACTGATGTATATTCAGCCAGAGGCAGCAGAAAAGCAGAAGTGAGTAATAATGTTTGTGATAGCGGCAGAATTACACACGCGCGGGTGCATTTACACTTTACTTTCCCATACCTTTAAGAGGTAAAGCCATCCATTGCATGGTGACTCCCACAAGCTGCCAAGGTAAACGCACGTATGGAAAAGCAAAGGGTTGATGCAGGCTTGCATCAAAAGACCTGGGATCCTCGTAGCGATTATATGCGTCTGTGTTCAAGGCAAAGCTTAGTTTCAGAGGTAGGTTACTCTTTCATTTCTGAAACCGTGAAACGACTCCTTTGCACTTCGGCTGTCAGAACTTGCATTCTTCTTCTTCCTCTTACTTACAAAGCTGGGCTTCGTTTTAAACCAGCTTTAAACCCGAGCCCCACTGAACAAGCTAACTCCCAAACGTCCGAAGCCAAAAAGAAAAGGCAGAGAGAGCTCTCTAACCCAGTACATTGCAGTGTCCCCCCCCCCCGCACCTTCCCTTTCCTCCTCCTCCTCCTCCTCACTTGACAGTGGTCGGTGAAAGGAGCGGTCGGACATCTTTCCCTCCGTCCACTCCTTGACGAACACCTGAACGGAGCTCAAATTAGCACAATCACGCCCAAATTTTCTGGGTAACTTAAGCTGAGGGGAAAAAAAAAAAACCCCAAGAAACTCCGCGCCCCAATGCTTCTTGGTTCGCCTTTGCTTAAACTTCATGAATAAAGCCTGGAAGGGTTGTTGTTGTTTTTTTTTTTAAATAAAATTCATTCTGGAGGGACAGCAACAAGCACACCTCGAAGAACCTCCATATACAAGAGGCAAAATATACGGGAGGCGATGGTAGAATTTGTTCTAGTTCTTCCATCCAAAAAGGTCTGGCAGCCCACCCACTTGTCTCATTCCCTTCCTCCGCCCGTCCACCCACCCTCAAGCTCCCTGGAGATTTCCGCCCTGCGGGCTTAGATGGAAGAGACTCCCGCACACGCGCCACAGCGGCTCCTCCCGGGACCCACCGCGGAGCTCGGTCCCTCTCTCACCCCCCAAGCAACTCACCGGGATCGCCGAGGACCACCACCAGCCTCCCCGCGAGCTCAGCAACCCGCCCGGCGTCGGAGCCAAGAAGCGAACGCGGTCAGGGACCGGCTATTATTCCCCGCTCTCGGGACCAGCGGCGACCGACGACGGGCAGCTAGCTGCCCGCTAGCGCTACCGACCCCATCCGTTTCCACGGGCAGCTTCGAGAAAGCGGCAAGCCCGGCGCTGAAGCTCGGATGAAGTGAGGGGGAGGAGCTCTCGGCGCGGACCAGCCAGCCTGGGAAGCTGGGCCACGCCCACCTCCTCCTCCGAGGCGGAGCTTTGCGAGTTGTGATGGGGAAGCGGGTCGCCGAGGTCAGGAAAGGTAAAAGGTTGGAGGGGGGGGGGGCTGCTTCGAAACGGAGAAGGGCAGTGGGAGGATAAGTGCCTCGCGGGCCCATGTGGGCAGATTCGGGCTGCGATAGAGACAGAGAGAGTAACAGTAACAGAGTTGGAAGGGACCTTGGAGGTCATCTAGTCCAACCCCCTGCTCACGCAGGAGACCTATACTAGGGATTCGAACAACCGACCTTACTGATCGACAAGCTCAGCGTCATAGCCACTGAGCCACCTAGGAATTAAATGCAGTTGACAGATGTTCTGGCAAAAACCAGTCCGATGGCGACTCTCCCCCAAGCAAACGCATCTTAAATCTGTCTTGTTTCTGAAAATTTGCATCCTGCCTTTTGTTAAGGAATTCACTCCATCTCCCCCCCCCCCCCCCCCCCCAGCAACCATCCTTCGAAGTATGTCTATGGAGATTGTCAGTCATCCCAGGTTATGGTTGTCACAAAGGTGCTTTTTTTCCAAGAGGCAACAGGACTTTCTGGTTTTTCTTTGAAGACATTTCGCTTCTCATCCAAGAAGCTTCTTCCCCAGCATCCAGTCAGAGTTGAAGAAGCTTCTCGGATGAGAAGTAAAACGTCTTCAAAGAAAAACCAGAAAGTCCAGTTGCCTCTTGAAAAAAAGCAGCTTTGGGACACCCTTTGAAGTTTATTGGGCCAAGAAAAAGTAATGGCTGGAAGTGCCCCAATGGGTTTCCAGGGCTAAGGATGGAACTCAGTCTGGATCTCGTTGGGAGTGCTGCAGCCAAGTTTTGGATCTGCTTAGCTTGTTGAGGGACATGGTGGTTCAGTGGCTAAGACACTGAGCTTGTCGATCGAAAGGTCGGCAGTTCAGCGGTTCGAATCCCTAGTGCCGCGGGGTGAGCTCCCATTACTTGTCCCAGCTTCTGCCAACCTAGCAGTTCGAAAGCACGTAAAAAATGCAAGTAGAAAAATAGGGACCACCTTTGGTGGGAGGGTAACAGAGTTCCGTGTGCCTTTAGCATTTAGTCATGCCGGCCACATGACCACAGAGATGTCTTCGGCTTTAAAACAGAGATGAGCACCGCCCCCTAGAGTCAGGAACGACTAGCACATATGTGCAAAGGGAACCTTTACTTTTAGCTTGTTGAATGATTTACAACAGCCATAGTGAAACATCAAGCATGGTTTATAATCCACAATAGCTGGTTTCATAGAATGCAGAAGCTGTCAACCAAACAAGGTGTTCTATGGTTAGGATAATATATAAACTCAATCATAGCTTGGTGATTTTCTTACAGATTTTTCATTACCAAACTAGGTAACATCATCAGGGCACTGATGTTTGATAATGAAATGTTTGCAAGAAAACTACCAAACTCAGACAGCACCAGGGACTGACTCCACAGTTCATCCCTGAGCTACAGATAACGCTATTCTATGGAAAAACTCAGTCATAGTTTGCACCCTCCAGCCTTATATTTCTGACTCAAATAATTGCATAAGCGAAATGGAGTGGGGAGGAGGGAGATAAATATATCTTTCAAAAAGTAGCGCATCCTCCACGTATTCTTCCCCCATACCTTTTTTGTATGTATCTGCAGTACACTACAGTGATGACATATGCCTCAAGAGATCAGGCAAATGGCATAATTATGCACTTGTGTCATGCCATCTGGGTTAAATGTATAAATTGCCTCATGATTCATATTGTTTGCCCCTTACAGACATTTGTGTCCTTTTTTCAACAGTTTCTTGAAGAAAGTCACAGTTTCCATACGCATCATAGAAAGTGTTCACATGACTTGGGTATCCATGGTTATCTAAACTCTAGTCTAATGAGTTTATATGGTACACTAAAATATACATATCTACAAACTGGTTTGTATATTACCTGCTAGGCTAATATGTGTGTCAGGCTCCAAGTAATGCACCTGTCACAAATCGAGGCATTGCCCCAATCAAATTCAGGCTTGACAATGTGACTGTCTTAACATGTAGCTGATATATCAAGCAAACATAATTTCTACATTAAAAAATTGAGTTCCAAAAAGGAAAAAGAACTTTGTTGCCTTGATCAGGATACTGAGAAAGAAACTCATCCTGACACAAAGTCATTCTAATAAAGTAAACTGGATCAAATCAGAGAACATATAGGGCCCTTTAATAGTTTTTTTTTTTCTGCAGTGATCTCTATTATTTTTTAGCATTATTTTGCAAACCTACAATTTTGGAAGTGACTGAATCCAATCTGCTCATTCTGTTTGAAAGATGGGAAGCTGGTGGGATTTTTAATAACATACATCATAACAGTAATATCATTCTGAATCTCATTCAATGTTATTTTAATCAGCCGAAATGAAATTGTGAAAATTTCAGAAGATTACGGGTCTTACTGTTCACATTTTAATCAGTCATTACTACTAAATTGTAATAAAAACAACATTCTCAAAAAAAACCTTAAGGGCTAAACTAAATGCTCTTGAGAACTGGTAACTTTCACTAAATGTTTAAATTATTTACAGGAAGGATGTTCAAGTTATTCTATCTTTTTTTTTTTTTTGCTTTTGCTTTTGCTTTAATTTTATATGCCGTCCTTCTCCAGAGACTCAGGGTGGCTTACAATACAGTCTTAGAACTGTAGCTCTATGCTTACTATAATAATTCTGGCAATTGTGTTAATTTTTACATTGTTCATATGTATTACAAGATAACTAAATAACTTTATTTTAAAAATACCTATTAACTATGGAAATTAAATTTTGGTGATCAAATAGGGAAATATATTGAAACAAATGCATCTATATAATCTTCCTGAAGACTGGGAAAAAGCAGCCAAATCAGCCTTTCTTGTACAAAGAATATTTGATAATCAGACATTATTTTTTGCCTTTACATGCATTTGGGTTAGTGACCAGGAAGAACTATTGGTTGTAGGCAAGATTAAGGCTATATTCACCCTATATATTACTGTTTTTAACTGAAACATAGCTTGCTAAATTAACCCACTTGCCTGATTTTGTGCAACACAATGAACCATATACTAAGTATATTCGCTGCATTTTGCAAAACTCACTGAGGCACAACACGGTCAATCAGTAAAACTCAAGTTGCTGGTTCATTAATACTATTTCATCCTTCTAGTTTGTTGAACAATTTCATTGCCTTTACATGAATTAATAACTCAAAGAAGCAACAAAGTCATTTTGAGACACTGATTAATCAAAACCAAAAGGTCTTTGCTGAAAAGTACTCTGTTTTAACCAGGAGATTCTGTTGCCACTGTTTTAATGAAAGCCTATACATGCTGTGAAAAGCCATATCACTTCTCCCTGTAATGCCTTTCAGATTTCATTAACATAATTAGGGGTCAAAGCTTTAAGCACAATTGACAAATATATGGATTAAAGCAGCAGGACAATTGTTCAAGTCCACTAGTTGTTTATTGCTTATTAGATTCCTTATACGGTAAATGGTCATCTCTAGACATATTGTAAATGCTCTGGGACCTCTGGAATGTACATAGGTCTTAGGCAGCTTGGTAGTTCTTTTTTTCATGTTGGCCTCCTGCTAATAATACTTTTTTTCCCCTCAGAAAAAGAGTAAGTAGGGTTAAATTAATGGGTTAAATTAATAATAATTTTCTCAATTAGCCCAGGTTTTCAGGTTCAAAACAGAGAACAGTAAACACACAAAGTGTATTTGCACGACACTACAGGCTGAAACATGGTTGGCAAATAAAAGCAGTATAGGCAGGATTTTGAGGAAATTTATACTGTAGTCTACTGTTGCACTTACTTGAGACCTAAATGACAAAGAGGCATGCACAAGAGAAACACTGGTTGCATTTATTGAGATGCTTACCCATGATTAACCCATACTTTACCTAACTAACTTATTTTGGGAGGCTGCCTAACATCTTAAACCATACATTAACATCACAAACTAGTTCACCCAATAATTTTTAGATATAGATATGCTTGGCTGCTATAATTAAGGTTTATTGTATTGTGTGAATATAGTCATTTTTTAAAAGTTGCTAGAGATAGACATTACATGTATTACAACAGATTAACCCTACCTTATAAAATATTAAAGGTATAACAGGTGTAGCTTAGTCCTTGTCAGATTTGCTGTTCTGCTAAAATTCCATTTCACACATCGTAACTATTAAAGTTAACAATGCTATCTTTTGTTTTGGTTCTAGTAAATTCGTTTTGAGTGTTAAGTTCTTAAAGCTAGCTATAAAACCAGTATTTCTGAGGAGGGAAAAATTATTAACCTAAATTGATATACTTTAAAAATCTATCTTTGTTGGATATGAGCACAAAAAGTAAAGTATAAATCTCAGGAGAAGAAAAAATCTGGCACAGAATTGTGACCTAGATGGAGAAAGATATAGCTACAAAGCCAAAAGTGTTAAGCTTTAGAGTATGTAGATGAAAATTCTGATAAACTGTTCGACACAAAATATTGAAACTACTCAAGAGAAACTACCTTTGAAGTCAATGAAACAATTTTGAATAGTTGCAATAATTGCACTGATATCTACATGCATAAAATATGGATTAGTTAAATATGATTTCCTGAATTTCCTTGATCTGATTCAATGAGGATCTCACATGCTTTTTTAAAAGTTTTGTTTCACTCATGCCACTCATGACTTCTCATCTGGACTACTGCAATGCACTCTATATGGGGCTGCTCCTGAAGAGCATTCAGAAGCTTCAACTGGTGAAGAATGTTACTGCCCAGATAGTAAAGGATGTTGGGTATTCAATATGAGCAACACCACTTTGTGAGCTGCATTGGTTTCCAGTGTGTTTCCGAGTGCAATTCAAGGTGCTGGTTATCAATTTTAGAGGCCTTCATGGCTTGAGGCTG